AGCGGACGCGCCGCTTAGCAAGTGCCCTGGGTGCTTCCTAGACAAAAGGCACGTGAATACTAAGTTTGCTAACCTGTGTGAATCGGAATTTCGTGAGTTGTCAGGGGAATGGCTAGCAAGTGGTTGGCTGGCCGGCAAGAGCTTGTTTAGCGGACTTACTCGCCGCTCACTCAGTCGCTCACAAGTGATTTGGGTAAGTCACCTTCGAGTGGCTCGTAAGATGTTAGTAAGTTGTAGCAGTGGTTGGTCTGTGGCTGGAAAGTGGTTCGTAATTGGTTTGCAAGCTCGTCTACCCGTGTCAGGATTTCCGCAAACCATATGACAACTAGTTTCGCATTGCATGTCGTAAGCGCGCGAATCTGGATCTTTCATACTGTGGTTCGTCGCCTGTGCTCGAGCAGAGGCTTGCGTGCATTTTGCGCGAGGTTTTCAAGTTGCGTCGCGTTTCATGTTCTACTGCATGACAGCTCGTTGTTGCGGTCAATTGTCATTGCGTTGCAGCATAATTTCAATACCAACTGTCAAGTTCAATGTGGCAGCGCTGTGCGTTAAGGCTTTTTGGCGCGCAGCCGCGCGCCGCAATTCGACGCGCATTTTCTGACGCCGTAACGCTGCGCGCAATACAGAAGGCTTGCACCGCGCAAATGCGCTCGACGCTGCAGCGCGGCGGGGCGCGCTTGCACGGCGTTTCTCGTGACTTTTGGGCTGGCGCCAGCGACCGTCTGCGCGCGCGCCCTTCCCCGCCCTCGCCCTCCAGGCCCCGCGCGAATAGCAATGGAGTCGCCGGACGCGCGCCCTGCAGGGGCCGCGTCCGCGGGGGCCCACCTCTTCGGCCATCGCGCCAGCCTCATCTCCATCAGATTTATTGTTGGTCGCCCTCTTCTGATTTGGGAATGGCAGATTTCCCTGCGTACTAATCGCGATTGAACTGCATCAGATAATGAAGAGGTGACAAGTGTTTCCATCTGAGGTTCGATCGGGATATTTCATCAGATGTCGCGTGGTCGTAGTCGTTCTCCGTCAACTGCTCCTCGCACGGCGTTGTATTAGGATCGGTTCAGTAAACCCGACCATCGCCATGAGACCAAACCCACGGTGTTCTCTTGAAGTTCGGGCTTCTTGATGGGCGTCTCATGGGACAGCCGATCCTGCAGTCGGCATGGTGGTAACATGAGCAACAAACACCTCGGCAAAGCTCCCGTTCCTCGATGATAGCTCTCTTGAGGTCACGCCTGGCAATCTTTTCTGGCGTTTGAACAGGCCCGGCCCCTGTCGAGCGAATGATCTTGCCGCCCTCACCTCGCTGAATATTGCGAAGGGAATACCAGTGGCGGATCTGATGCCCAGTCCAACCCTGATCCAACCAATATTTCATCTTATCTGTGGGCATGCACTGACGAGCCAATCCAGCTTCCGCGTAACCAACATGGCGCTGCATTCCGCGCCCTGGACATTCTTCTCGCGATTGATCTTCCTGAGGCGGGTGCCCCCGCGGGCGCCCCCTCCTCGGGGGAGCGGCAGGCCCATTGGCCTGCCATAGGGGTGCTTTCGCACTTCCCGCATCCGGAGGACGAGGGCGCCGAAGACAGCTAGAGCGAGCGCCGCCGGAGCGGGCACGCGCACAATCAGCTGAGCGACTGGAAATCCGACCACGACGTATCCTGCGATCGTTATCTTCCCACTCTTCGTCCTCGTCGTCGGCGCGATGCTCCTCCCTCCAGACCTGGCGGCTTGTCGATCGCTTCTGGCGGCTCATGGGCCGATCTGCAGCAGCGAAGGTACATTGAAATCCTTCATTGTGGCCAAGCTCATATTGAATACGCTCAGATAGATCACTAGCGCCTCGCGGGTGCCCCCGCAAATGGTCATCGTCGCTCAATTCTATATCTGTCGGATTTCCAATAACCCGAGGATAGATGATCAGCTGTATTTCCTCGTCTGCCGCAGGAATGGTAGCTTCTGAGTCCGCGGGTGTCCCCGCCATGTCAGCGTCTCCTTCGGCGGGCACATGGAAGTTCTCGACAATTTCACTCTCTGCATGTTGCCCCGCGATGGTTACGCCCAGCCATTCTGCCAGATCGATGTCGTTGTAGCCAGTGAACACCTCCTCGAACAGCTCGTCGGCGTAATTCTCGAGGGTCATGCTGGCACTGAGATATCCGGCAGCCATGAAGCTAACAACTGCTGCTGAGCTATCGGCAGGGTCAGCTAAAAGAGACCCCCAGTCACCAGACTGCATGTCGGAGTCGGTTTGAGCCAAATGTATCGACGGACCCCTGCCTCTCCCATCGCCTTGAGGGCGTTCGCGGCGAAAGTGCTGCGTACTGAGGCATGCGTCGCACACCATAGTCTTACCATTGGCATGCTTTGGGCTTCCCCGACGTCCTCTGGCTTTTCCCTGATGTATGCCTGCGGTTTCTGCCTGTACCAAAAAAATGTCTTCATGCTGTGGCCCAGCGAGGGATGCTAGGAATGCTAATATGCCTCTACCATGCAATCGCCGACGCTTAAGTACCTTTGCCCTTACTTCGACCTTTGCCTTTTCCTTTGGGTGCTCGTCGTACGATACGCCGTACCTTTTCGGACTGGTTTCTTAATGAACCTCCGCTATCTGCGCTTGTGTGTTTGGTACCATAAAAATAACCATTGCGCTTCTTGCTCTTCCGTGAGGTATGTAGGCATATCCGAGTAGTCAAGGGTTGTGGCTTCATCGTCCGAAGACGTATCGGTGTCAGTACCGAAGTCGAAGTCGGACTCGGCGGTCTGCCCCGCTTAGCCCATTGGGGCCATGGCTTGTATGGGGGATACCGCGTCAGGCGGTCCCCGAAGCCTGGCCCAGGAGTCTTGCGACCCCGAGGCCGCTCCACCATTCTGAGTCAACAGCGTAGTGGTTTCATTTGGCTGTGGATCATCATTCCAGGCGTTGTTAGCAGGCTGCCCTGCGTTAGCCTCCACGTGAAATGTCTCGGTTCGGTGACCGCGACTGAAGATGCCACCAATATTGCCAAGGGGACTCTCCGCAATTTTAGCATATGACCTCATACGTTCGAGTAGAGCGTCAAATTGTTGGTGGTATCTCGGCACGTGGTGGTTTAGAGGCTGCAGGAGTTGTTGTGCACGCGATGTCCCCACTCCAAGAACTCTAAATCAAATCGCTGTTAAGATTTGTAAGTTGGGGATACTGAAGCCGGCCGCTTCAGCATCTTGGCGGGCTGTCTCAAAACGTGCTAACGTCTGGTCGATGCGTTCTCCCGCATGGACTCGGAAGTCAATGAGAGCGGTGCCAGAGCTGGGTTTGCGCGACCTCTTCTAAATTCTCGAACTTCGTGCTTAAGAGGAACATGATGTAGGTGACGCCGTCAGTACGGCGACCACCTATGTTGACGCCAAAGTTGATGACTGCTGGAGGGACTCTCCTGGCTATGGTCCGTGCGAGACCCCCCAAACCTCGCTGTAGAGCTGCAGCTTGCTGGGAGGGCGTCGTAATGCCTGTGGTCACGTTGATCCAGGCATGCACTTCGCGGGCGAATTCGCAAAAAGGTACTTGACCGGCTGGGTCCCAGTGAGGGCCGGTCGTTCTTGTGTCGTCTCCGCCACGCATATGTCCTACCGCACATCCGATAGCGGCCCATGTGAGCCCAAAAATAATAATACCAATCCAATGACCTTGTAGGTCGTGGTCGGATGTAGTCGGTTGGGACTTCCGTCGTGTGGGCGGCAATGTGTGGTATCGCATGTTTCCATGTATTATGTCTTCGAAAAAGTTTCCAAGTGGAGTAGGTGGGTGGATTTCAGGAGTGTACAAGCGCAGGGGTGTAGGAATTAAGTAAAGGACCTCCGCATGAGCAGAGATATCGCTGCAAGTGCCCCTGCGGTAATGCGTAGCTATATACATTTCTCCGCGCAAACCCACTGCACCCTGATGTTCCACCATGTCCGTAATCTACCAGATAATGCCGTGGATGGTGAGGAATAGAAAAAGAGCTGACCACCATAGGCCAGCTCCGCTACCAAGTTTGAAGGGGGCTGGGAGGCCCAGCCAACAGCTTCGCCTTAGGCAAAGCCAAGCTCCAGCTCTGTTGTACCGTAGTAACGATAGTCCCCGTAGGAGAGGATGTGCCATCTTAAGCAACAGGAACATCCTTTTGGTCTCGATGACAATCGTGTGCCTCGCGATGAGGCGCACTCATATTTGGGCGGCCGGCAGCTTAAGCCGACTGGGCGCACGCTCGCTTCTGCTCCTTACGTCCCTCAGCTAGTTTTAGAATAAGATCAGCCCACTTGCGGTCTTCGATGGCCCAAGTGAGCCCAATGAGAGACAAGCTGGCATAAGAGGGCCCCCAGAGGGGCACCCGACTGCCTACGAGGGTTCCTAGATGATTCAAGAATGCCACAGGACGGCCCGAAGAAACCCCATAGGCGGCCAAAGGAGCCCCGAGACTGCCCAACAGGGCCCTGAAGACGGCCCGAAGGGACCTCCAAGACTTTCTGTCGGGGAGCCCAAAACAGCCCCGAGACAGAAGGCGGCCAAAACAGGCCCCATCAAATCTCCTCAAGAGGTAGAGACGACAGGTGTCACATGTGACTGCCTTCTGGACGGTTATAAGGGTCGCCACAGTGCTTCGCTGGCACGGTGGCGGGGTTTGCCGCAGGGGCCTGGATATGCGCACCTTTCCCGAGCATGACGAGGATACCTTCTCTCTGCTGCCTCCCGAGGTAGCGTCGGCCCATAACCACCTATGGATACCTGCCGGGTGCAATCCTGTCAGATGCTCTGCGCCTCGTCCCGTCGTGGCGGTGCCCCCCCCCTCCCATGAGGCTCCAAAAGCAAAGGGGCACGGGCGAGGATGCCCCAGGCCGTACCCACGGTGCTCCCCGCCAGTCCTCGTCTCCCTCTTCTTCCTCCTCCTCCTGTCACTCCACCTCGTCACATCACGACATGGCGTCTTCAGTGGGGCGGCATTGCGCCCCAGGTCGTTATTCGGCGAGGCCGCTCAGGCCTCTGCCCATGCCGCATGCGGAGGTAGCTCTGGCGCCTGCCACGGCTGCCGTCGCCGTTCGCGATGTGGCGGAAGCGATCCGCAATCTGGGCCATCTCCTATCGGAGGCGACTTCCTCCTCCTGCTCCTCCTCCTCCTCGCCGTCCTCTCTCCCACCCGTCCTTCTGCTGCCACACCTGCTGTTCAGGAGAAGGCAGGATGAGGGGCATTGGAGTGGGGGGAGGATGGAGGAGGGAGAAACGATGCAGGAGAGAGCAGGATGGCGGGATGGAAAGGGGAGAAGGGAGGGGTGAGCAGAGAAGAAAGAGGGAGGAGGAAAGAGTGAAGAGGCGCCGACCCTTTGTCTCCGCCTTGATGAGCAAATCATGACGCTCATGCTCTCTCGCTCTCACTCTCTCTCTCTCTCTCTCTCTCTCTCTCTTTCTTGCCCTTCCTTCCTCGTGATAGCAGATATTCTCCAAACAGCTTGCTGGACGGGGTGCTGTTGTGGTAGAACCAAGTTCCAGCCAAGGAAGGCCGAAGCAGAGACATCCTCAAGAAATTGTATGGTCCAGGCCGTTTCGCTTGAGACATCTTCACAACTCTCGCCGACGTCGCCGATACTCGTCGATGCATCGTCGATGCATCGGCTACGTGATCATCCGAACCCATCTACTGGGACCACATTTAGGAGGCCTCTAACGAAGCCCTCCTGCCTTCGTAGAGGCTCCCTCCCACCTTCTGGGACGGATGCCCCCCTCCCGCGCCACCCCCGTGGTGCGCGGCGTCAACCCACAGGGTCTGGCTTGACCCTGGACCGCCGCCGCAGCGTGTCGAACATTGCCCTTTGGCGACCGTCGCTGACAACAATGGGGCAGCCCAGAGGCCACAGAAAGCCCAGAAGCAGTGAGCCAGACGCACTGCAGGTTTATCCTCGCCTTCAGCATCTTCGTCAGTATTTCTCAAAGCGCGGGGTGGTCCAGCGCGTTTCGCCTGAGACATCCTTGCTGCAATTCTGGTATCTGAGATGCCGCGCGCGAGATGGTCCTGCGCGTCTTAAGGTATCCTCGAAACTATGGGCTCCGAGATGTCGGGCGCGAGGTGGTCTGGCGCCTTTCGCTTGAGACACCCTTGCAACTCTGAACTCCAAGACGCCGTGCGAGTGGTGTGGCCCGTTTCGCCTGAGACATCTTCGGAACTCTGAGCTCCGCAATGCCACGCGCCAGCTGGCCCTGATCGCTTCGTCTGATGCATCCTTGCATTTCTGCGCGTTGAGCTGCCGCGCGCGGAGTGGTCCGGCGCGTTTCGCATGAGACATTGTCACAACTCTGGGTTCCGAGATGCCGCTGGCGAGGTGGTCCAGCGCGTTCCGCCGGAGGCATCCTCGTAAGTCTGAGCTCCGAGATGCTGCGCGCGAGATGGTCTGGCCCGTTTCGCCCGAGACATTCTCGCAACTCTGGGCTTCGAGATGTCGCGCGCGAGGTGGTCCGAACCGTTTCGCTTAAAACATCCTCACAATTCTGGGCTCTGAGAAGATGTGCGCGAGGTGGTCCGGCGCGTTTTGCCTGAGATATCCTCACAACTCTATGCTCCGAGATGTTGCGCGCGATCTGGTCTGGCGCGTTTCGCCAGAGAGATCCTCCAAACTCTGGGCTCCCAGAGGTGGGAGGGGAGGAGGGGTCAGACCCAAACGAACCATTTGATTGCACTTGTGTTGCCGAATTGTGCTCTGGGAAGGGTCTGGGCGCCGCCTGCTCCTCCTCGCATGCCGCGCGAGAGGTGGTCTGGCGCGTTTCGTTTGAGACATCCTCGCAGCTCTGGACTCCGAGATGCCGCGAGAGAGGTGGTCCAGCCCGTTTCGCTCCAGACATCCTTGCAACTATGGGCTCCAAGACGCCGCGCGAGAGGTGGTCGAGCCCATTTCTCCTGAGACCACCTCGCAACTCTGGGCTCCGACATGCTGCTTGCGAGGTGGTCTGGCGCGCTTCGCCTCAGACATCCTCGGAACTCTGGGCTCCGAGGGGGAGGAGGCAGGAGGGAGGCCGGGGTCAGATCCAAACAAACTGTTTGATCACACCTGTGTTGTCGACTTGTGCCGTAGGAAGGGTCTGGGCGCCCCTGGCCCGACGACGGAGGCAGCTAGAACTGCCGCGCGAGCGCGATTCCTCGAGCGGCTTGTCCCAGGCCCAAACTACTTGTCTGAAGGCATCCATGGCGAGGATGCCTCTTGGAACCAGCATCGAGAATGCAAAGACTTCCCAGTCCCAAACCACGTGTTTGAGGGCATCCATGGCGAGGATCTTTCTTGGAAGCGGCATCGAGAATGCGAAGGCACCCCTGGAATGGCGGAGGAAGCGGAAACGAGGAGGGATGAGGGAGGAGAAGGAGGAAGCTGACGCGGCGGACGAGGAGGAGGGGGATGAGGAGGAATGCGAGAACGAGGAGGAGGAGGAGAATGAGGAGGATGTGTGCGTTCTCCTGAAATGCCAGATGCTCTGAACGAGGGACATTGAGGGTGCCACCGCCAGTCTGTGCCCTGTGATCGCGACTGCTGTTCTGGTTCAGACCAATCTCAGAAGCATATCAGGAGGCTCGGCCGCGGTGTCCGTGCGAGAAGAAAGTCATCGACTCAGGGAGAAGATCGGTCAGAGATTATGCGAGCACTGCAGTATACTCAGGTTCAGTATTCGCGCTTATCTTGAAACCAAGTCAAACACTCCAGCGAAAACGATGGCCAGCGGAATCGCTTAAGGAGGAGGACTAGCCGGCCAGTGGCGCAGGCTGTCCTGCAAAGGACACGATGCATCGACAGAGTATCGGAGCTGGCGGAGATGGACTGGAGCAAAGTTGGCAATTGAGGTCCGACGTGGTCTTCCAGCAGGGGCCCTCGGTCCGTTGGAGCTGGCGCTGCTTGATGACGAGGCGGAGAAGGCGTGTGAGCACCTGAAGCCTGTCGAGCTGGAGCAAGAAGGTGCCGAGCTCACATGTCGTGCTGTCGGTGAACGTTTTCCCGATACGGAGGCCAGCGACAGAGTTGGGGGATGCCCTGGAGAGTGGCGTTGGCCTCACCGCCGAGCGAGGCGAGACGTCATCGGTGTACGCTGGGCGCGCTCGCGCCGTGTTCGTCAGCGCCAGGAAGGGAGGAGTGGAGCTGCCGACTGTGGCTCAGGGATTCCTTTTTCTGCGTGGGGCCCCGCTTGGCATGAACAGCCAGCCAACGTCAGTGGGGTGTCAGAGGGATGGCAGGCGCGGTTCGCACCGCCTGCCCGAAGCAGATGCCTATGTCACAGGTGCACGAGGCCACGGGGCGGGATGAATCACCAGAGCAGCCTCAGTCCTGGATGCCAGTGGCAGAGACGGCCCCGGCCGCAGACGGGGAGATGGAGGCCGAGATCAACGAGCTGCTGGAGGATGACAGTCCCATCGATGAGGAAGCCGCGATCTGACATGTTGGTTACGTGCAAGGAGACGATGACAGCGATGACGCGAGAGAAGCTCCAGCGAGGGGTCCCGAGTACTGATGTTCAGAACCTCAGGTGGCTGAGGGATCAAAACAGGTGCTTTCTGTGTCGCGAGGTCGGCCACTTCAGCAAGCATTAACCGAACCGAGGCAGGGTAGGATCGACTACATCCTCCCAGAGCGGCAAGTCATTTTCGACGATGCGGCGCCCGTCCCAACAGAAGCCCCATGCCTCAGGGGATCGCCCACGTGCTGATGACCCTGGAATTGGCGATGGTCGAGGACGACGAGGGTGAGGATCCCGACGTCCGGCACATGATCGATGTCCTACTGGCGTCCTGGCCCCAGGATGGCAAGGCGACCCTGATGATGAAGCCGACGAATGAGGAGAGGTTTCGGCGTCTGGCTCATGAGCGACGTAAGGCAGACCAGGACGTCGACAATGATGAGGTCGACGCGATCGGCGAGGTCGAGGACGTCGACCAGGAGAGATGCCAGTGTGTGCGTGTCATACGCCAGGATGTGGCGGTCTCGACTCGGGCTGTGTCATGGCCCTGATTGGAACATCTACCTTGGAGAAGCACGAACGCGAGACAGGCCTGAAGCCGGAGAGGGAGGAGGATGTCCCGACCATTCGCTTCAAGAGCTACGACGGCAAGCTCAGGCGGGCACAGAAGGCGTGCTGGATACAGCGGTCGCTCCCGAAGATCGGCTCCTGCTCGCATGCCAGTCAACACGTATATCCCAATACCTCGGTACCCGCCCTATTTGTCTTCGATCGTACCCCCCTTGGGGATATATTTGGCCTACTTGCCGCGTGTAGTTAGCGTAGCCCCTAAAACAGGGGAGAGGACGGATGGAAGGGAAGGGAGAAGGATGGAGCACGAGAGAGATTAGCAGGAGGGGGTAAGACCAGAAACATGTGGCAGAACCAGACGGGCAAATCGGGCGGGTAGACCCTCCCTGATGGGCGGGTCGGGAACGCGGGCCCACGCGGCCAGGTCGAGCAGGCGGGTTGCCGAAGCACGAGCACGAATCGCAAGGAAATACCGAGCGATAGCAGGATTCCCAAATACATCGCGAGAGAGGCCAAGGCGACACCGTGATTCCTGAGGGGTTGGAGGCACGACGCCCGAATAAATTGCGAGGAAGTCCCATGCGGAGCGCGATTCCTGCATACATTATGGGGAAGTTCCGCGCGAGAGCGCGTACTTGACACAAATCGTGAGGAAGTCTGAAGCGGGAGCCGTTGTTGTTATATCTTGGGGGCCAGGGGCCCAGTTTGGTGACACCTCGCTGTCCATTGTAAACAACAGGACCCAAGTACCAGGAGGAACAGTATAACAGAAAAACAACAATGTTTAAGGGAGGCGGGGTTAAACAATGATGATCATTTCTTAGATTTGACAGCTTCCCAACAACAGCAACAGCAACAGCAACAACAACAACAACCAGGTGAGAACGTGTTGCCCCCAGGGCACCAGCACCATGGACTCTCCTGGCCTTGTGAGAGCGAGACCCTGGCACCCCGTCCCTAATTGCGGTGCGGGGGGGGGGGGGGGGCAACCGCAACAGCGCAGCTTCCGTCCTACCACAAGCATGTATCTGGGAACTCTAAGGACATCGTACAGGAACTGCTGGGATCTCTATAGAGATGGT